ATTATTATATTTACAAATACAAATAACTAAATAGCTAATAAGATAACATAATTATACGAAAACACAAATACTAAATTAAAAATTATATTTTAAATAATAAAATTATGTTACCCAATTAATTTTTTTGTTTTAAATTATTTTAAAGCTAAACTAAATTATTAATACAGACTCGCGCGTAGCGCGAGTATAAAATCTAGTTGTTCTTAAAGCTTCGCCGTTTGTTGTGCTTTTTTTAGAAAAATAAGAAGACCCGTTCATGTCTCCTGTTTAATCTGAAAACAGTACTGTACTGGAGATAGACAGATTTCGATTATGGAGTTAAGAGAGGTCTTCATATTGAGGTTGAACTAGATAAATGGAGAGTAAGAACGAGTTAATGGATTATGGCCGGACCCGGTAAAGGGCTGCCTACATATCCCAAAGGGGATTCAAGCTAATTGTAATTTTACAACAATGGGACACAAGTGCCTAGAGAAAGGTATGTGCTGGAGTGTTTCTCTCTCTAGAGAGTGAGAAGGTGTGAGAGAGACCAAATAGAGCCCCCCAACAAAAGGGGCTGCCTCTTTATTTTAGGAGGAAGATATCTAAGGTTTCCTAATAACCTCCTTATTAATGGTCTGAGCCCATTATCTTATAAGAATTGTAACATCCCGAGTTGTGATATATGGAAAGGCTTAAGAGGATTGATTTGACTACCTATGTCACCAAAGTGCACTTACCTTTTCGGGAGCACATCCAGAGAGAACTCCAGAGTTAAGCGTGCTTGAGCTGGAGTAGTCAAAGGATGGGTGACTTATCGGGAAGTGATTCACGATACCGTGTAAGTGAGGCCAAAGCACGGGAAAAGGTCGGGTGGTGATAGCAGGGTCAATAAACATGACTCTAGAGCCTTAGAAAATTAACGGACCGGCCGTTGGAACGGGATGGGGCCCACGGGACGAGAGAATGGGCGTGGGTGGCCCATTAACCGTGGGCGATCGGGGCGTTACACCTTGTTGAAGGGCAAAGCCACAACTAACATCTCTTTCTCCGCTACTATTAGATAACAGTTTATCGTCATTGTCATTTGTCAGTGACATAATCACACTGATTATATAAAAACTGTATCATCATCATATGTAAAAGACTTTTTCTTATTAATCGTTTCAATGATTAAACCAAAATTTAATCCCGAACATGTTTGATTTACATGGAAAATAAAATCTTTCTGAGTTCAATCTACATAAATATTTCGTCTTTTAGAAATACTAGAGTGTTTCTCATAATTTACTTAATTTTTGTTGGGAGATAAATAATATCATAAATTTAAAAATGAAATTATAAATAAAAAATCAGTTTTATGTTTTCAGGAGAAATCTGTTTTATCTCATTTCGATATTATTTTTGTTTTTTCGAAAACTACTCCTTTCATTTTTTTTTTATATTTGACGTTTTAGGATTATGCACATAGAAAATTTTTATATAAGGTGTAATGTATACCTTTTTAACTTTAGCATGAAACTCTGCACCGGCTTCCTCAATTTTCTTCTTTCATGCTTGCTGGAAAATAATTTTATCAAACAATGAAGTGCAAATTTAATCTGGAACTAAAATATTTGAAAGAGGGACATACACGTTCCTTAGAGGATCTGGCAATTGAAACTCTAAGATCATCCAGCTTTTCACTCCTTGAGGAGTCAGCTGCAGCTTTAGAACCTTGACCCTGGAATGTTCCAGCGGGTGATATAGGGTTCAAAATACGTTTTGGATTCACACCCTTTTGCGATTTATTCCACTGCAAGAAATCATAAGAAAAAGATGAACATAATGCCATTTACACCAAATCTAACCAAACCCATACCAATATCAATTCGACAATGCAACTGGGTTACCTTCACAAGGAACTGATTTTCTGTTTCTTCAGGGATTTTCCACTTCCCGGAATAATACAAATAGTCAAGAGAAAGCTTCAAACGTTAATTGAAGGTAAAGAAAAAAACAAAACAAAACTAAATGATTTTACCCTAGAGAGCTCATAACTTACGATATACTGACACTTCTTCATGTTTTTTCATTCAGAGATCGTATTCCAGGGACATTGATCTTCACACCTTACAGCAATCGCTACCGTACTTCAACTTTATCGAAACAAAACAAAAAAAAAATTGAGAAACTGTAAAACTAGATCAAATGAATCGACATCATAACTAAAAGGCAATGTCTTTTTAAATGGGTTATCAACATCATTGAAGAAAAAAGAAATTGATCATCGCCATAACTTTAGATTCGAAATCCTAATTTGGATTCGGGTGGACCTGGTGAGATGTCCTTGAAATACAAAGCTATATAGACTTGCCGATGGAGACATAGAAACTTTGGGTTGGATTTTATTGCCAAAGCTTTCGATTCTTCAAAGGAGGTTTTTGGTTTTAGGCTTGTTTGCAAGTAAGTTGACGAAGCAGTTGAGCAATCAACATATAAGAATAAAGCGAGGGAGGTGTAACAAAAAATATAAAGAAAGAATTAAGGATCGCCATTGATTGATCAATAAGCGCTCATTGTAATAGAGATGGTGAAGACGAAGTGGAACACCGGAATCGATCATGCTTAGGCCCGAGTTAACTTTTTGACCCCACACCCTAAGCCCATTTTTCTCTTCCCTCTGTTGCTTATATGACGTGGTCAAATAACTGTTTTTCATTGGTTGATTTTTTAGTCATACGTGGATGGCTTCCCCTTTGCGTATATTTTGCTTTTATTTATAGTAGATTAATTAAGTTCGGATTCTCAAAATTATCTTACAAATGACGAATTAGGGCTATATTTAAGATGAAGACCCGACTATCAACTAGATTCATAGTTATATCTACCAAATATAAATAGTCAATTTAATTCGGATCGAAAAAATTTGCATATCTCTTGTACAAGACGTTGCCAAAACAATTTTCAATCTCAGCATAAAAAAACTTTTCATTTAGACCATTTGCAAAGGCATCGTTACATGGATCTTTAAAACAAGCATATGGCTTCGCGATGTCTCATTAAAACAACATCTACAACTGAGCTGATTAAAAAAAATTAAAGAAACAACCCATATGGTGGAAAGCGAAAAATGGTACGTATCAGATTGCTCAGATTCAGTTGTGCTTATGTGAGACACCTTGTGAACTTCATCTTTTATCATCATATTTCAGTTAACGGTATTTTCCGTTAGAGATTGGATATCATGAAAGATTTGATGGGGCTTGAAGCTTTGAACACTTTCTTGTTCGGGCACATCGAGAAAGAAAATGTGGTGGGAGGTGATACTTCCGAGTTTTCATGTATGTATTGCACCCTACCCCATCGACTATATGATAATGGGTGGACTTGTATTGCTTCTTTTTTTCTTGAATTACGTACGACTTGTATACTCTTCGCAGTCCACAGTTTTCATAATTTTGTTTTATCTATATATACATATATACTTGTTATTAAAGTTTTAATATTTTTTTTAAAGTTTTAATAGTTTTTGAAGCCAAGTTCCTATAAGCGGAACGTCTGAATGCCGTATGACAACGTCAGAATCAAGACAAAGAAAGGTAACGAAGAAAACAATACAAATTATGAAACAGTAAATGAAGAACATGTTTAATGGCGTCACCGACTCACATATCACTTCTGGGCGACATGTCTATAATATTTACCTCACAAATTAATAGAGAAAATTGTTTTTATTTAAACATCTGAACTCAATTAATTAAGATATGGTACAATGTTTCATGCTGGAAAAACCAAAATGAGAAAGCAAAACAAGACTCTAAAACAACAAAAAGATCTTAAGGGAAAGATTTAACTTCCATTAGATAGAGCCTCATTTCTGATCCGGTCATGCAGCCAGGCGGGCCCTCCTAGAGAAAATTGGTTTAAGAACGACAGACAATATAATTATTTTATAGAATTAGGAAAAACAAAATAATAATAGGGATGATTAATTAAATTGTAGCTGTAAAATTTTTACTGTAGAAATTAATCTGTATAATATTTTGATTTAGCTGTAAAAGATGTAACTTTAAAATTTATTGGTACAACAACATATTTTCTACAGCAAAAAAGATGTAGTTTTAGAAAATAAGGAATTTACAACCATTTCTTTAGTTTTTGGTTGTTGCTTTGAAAATAAGATAAAATATTATTGGTGACTTAAGTGTTGTAATTAAAAATTAAAGATAAAGTCAGCACTTACAACATAACTAGTCACCCACAATATACTGTAGGAATTTTTTTGTTAATGGGCCTGATTTTAATAATTTGAAGATTTGTTCAGTGGGCTAAGCAGCAGTCTCCACGCCGTGTATACCCCACCGACCAGACCTTGAGCATCACGTCCCCTCCTCCGCAATAGTTACTTTATTACCCTCGTCTTTCCTTAGTTTCCTCCGAGTATATCCTCCAACACCTAGACACGATCGTCATTTCCAAAATCTCAAATATTCGGAATATATATTTTTATTTATATATATTAGTGACCCACCCCCTACATTAGTCATCACCCACTCAAACATTCTCGATCTATCTTCTTTATCATCGTCAATTGTTTTCATCGTTTGAATCCAAAGATGGCCAGAAAGTTCTTCGTCGGAGGCAACTGGAAATGCGTAAGCCATCTTCTCTTTCGACCTAATCTTATCTGTCTACTTCTCGCTTATGGTCTCTTCGTCCTTGATCACCGATCAAGTGAAGTCAGATCTGATAATCCGAATTTTCAGATCCGTTTTCTGATTCCGATGGTTGAGATTTGTTGATTCGATGCACGCAGTGTATCTCTTAGTTGATCTCGTGCTTAAGCTTTTGATTGCAATCTGATTCATAGAAGTTGTTGGCTATTATATTAGCCTATTAAGTGTTTGTTCTTGAGAGAGAGATGCTAATTTGTTGTTGTGAATATAAAACTGTAGAACGGGACAGCTGAGGAGGTGAAGAAGATTGTCAACACTCTTAACGAGGCTCAGGTTCCTTCCCAGGATGTCGTTGGTATGTGCACTGCAGCATCTCAGTTTACTTTGATGGAATCATAGGAATCTGGTTTTGGTTTTACATGTATAGGGACTGGCTAGTAACTCTTCTGAATTGATTTTGTTTTGATATATAAATTATTTGTCACATGAAATTTGGAATTAAAAGATTCTGTATGCATGGATGATCAAGTTTATAGAGTAGTTTTTATTTGTTCTTATATGCTTTGGTTTTAAATGTGATTAATAATAGTACTGGAAATTTTACAAATGCAGAGGTTGTGGTTAGCCCTCCATATGTGTTTCTTCCTCTCACTAAGAGCATTTTGAGGCCTGACTTCCATGTTGCGGCTCAAAATTGCTGGGTCAAGAAAGGAGGTGCCTACACTGGTGAAGTCAGGTGAGATTCTCTACCCACTGACGTCTACTTCAAACTGTTACATCCTTATGGTTTTTTCTTAAGATGTTTAGATTAATAAATCAATATCTTCGTTTTCTCTGCTCTTGTTTCACCTTGTATCATGCCTCTTATGCCTTCTGTAATTGTGCAGCGCCGAGATGCTTGTGAACTTGGACATCCCGTGGGTTATCCTTGGTCACTCTGAAAGGAGGGCACTCCTCAATGAATCTAACGAGGTTGGTTACATTTCTTGATTCTACCGTTTGGATTGGACTGCTGTAATTAGGTTTTGATATTTAACCTCTTATCCTACATTTGTAGTTTGTTGGAGACAAGGTTGCCTATGCTCTTGCTCAAGGTTTGAAAGTGATTGCTTGTGTTGGTGAGACTCTTGAACAGCGTGAGGCGGGATCGACCATGGATGTTGTCGCTGCCCAGACTAAAGCTATTGCTGGTATAACATTATCAAACACTTTTACCTCTTTTTGCTATATTAGTTTGTTCTCTTTGACACTGGTGGCCTGTTATTCCACTCGCTCTAAGTACATAGCTGTTTAGTAACGCAGTACATGATGACTTAATCTTATATTCTAGTCTTTATCACTAGACTGCACAGAGATATTTTTTGGCCATTTTTCTTATAAAGAATTTATGTGTTGGTAATGGCAGACCGGGTGTCGAACTGGTCAAATGTTGTCATAGCCTATGAACCAGTGTGGGCCATTGGAACCGGAAAGGTCGCTAGCCCAGCCCAAGCTCAGGAAGTAAGTTTATTTTCTATGCGTGTGACCTGTGAATCATTGTTGCTTCTCGTCATTAATTGATATGGAAACCAATATTATGAACACAGGTACATGATGAGCTGAGGAAATGGCTTGCAAAGAACGTGAGCGCTGATGTCGCTGCTACAACCCGCATCATTTATGGAGGTAACAATAAATACCATGTTAGATGACAATAGTAGTTTGAATATAACCAAATGCTTACTTAGCTTTGATTGTCTAAATAAACTATCAGGATCTGTCAATGGTGGTAACTGCAAGGAGCTAGGTGGTCAGGCCGATGTTGATGGTTTCTTGGTCGGTGGTGCTTCTCTAAAGGTGTGTGTTCGCCTTGTAAAAATAATGTCTTAGTTTGGTGCAAATCAAAACTATTATCTAATGTGTTTTTTTTTCTTCTCTTATTGTTTGGTTTGCAGCCTGAGTTTATCGACATCATCAAGGCTGCGGAGGTGAAGAAGAGTGCTTAATGACTTCACTAAACAGTCTCAAATCCTTTTGCTTCTTCACTCTCAACTCTGATTTCTAAAAATAAATAAGTTGATACAGTGTTGTAATGACACTCTTTGTTTCAGTTGTATGTTGTCTTGAGGAGGCAACAAACATTTCTTCGCCAATTTATTTAGCTGTCAGTTACAAAATCTCTCACTTCTCTCATATTCCCATGAAGTTGTGTTCCGTGTTACTGTCCCAGCATTTTTTTTTTTCGTTTTCTTAATAGCTCCTGTGATTAAATTAAAAAGGAAAAGCAAAAAAACAGCCCAGCCTGTACAGGCTTTTTTAGGCAAAAAGCCCAAGCTCAGAGGAATTGATTTTGGACCGAAAACATAGGTTTTACTGATTGTACCAATCAACACGTAATAATACGTTGGCTTATTATTATTCTATTTACAGTTTTTTTTTGTTCAAAATATTTTTTATTCTGTTTACAGTTTCGGTTCTAACTGGTTTGTACAAAACAATAACAGTACAAATATATGGTGGTATGACTACCTTTGTTACTCTACAGCTGCTGCTATCTATGATATCATCATAAAAGCTGCTTTATCGTTTTTCTATAATCACGTGGATCTAATATGTTCCACTAGTATTATTTTGCTATATTTTGATCTTTGAATAATGATGGTGTCAGCAACTTTTTTATATAAGTATAATTCTTTCTGAATGATGAAACTCAGGGCACGGGTTTTGTCATGTAAAGCTGTCAACGAGTAGGTATTCTCTCAGTTTTGTTATTTATTCAACGCTTTTTGCGTATTAGCTTAACAATGTTGACATCCTAGCTTATGGGATATTGTTGTTTTCAACTTTATCGTCGGTCATCATGCAAAACGTTTAACATTAGGGGCAAACTCATTATCATTAGTCTTGTATAGAATAATTAATTATACTAACTAATGCAGTAAATTAAGCAAAATGATGATGATGTAGGTAAGTCGAAAAGAAGAGGTCCAAATGTCAAAAAGTTGTTCAAAACCGTGGTATCAAAATACTGAATGATCTCAATGTAATAAATATATGAGTATGGATTTTGACCTGACCACGAAAATCCAACTAAATTTCAGTAACACAATGACTTATAAAATAACATAATAAACGTGATTACATTTGATGTCCTAAGTCAAACCCACATGTCCTCACTAATAGTTTAACGATAATGATATACTTATTTGAAAATATATCACCAAGAGGCAGTTTAGTGTTTTTAATTTCAAGAAAAGACACTTTCTTATACATGGACACTTATCTTTAATTGAGTAATTTTAGTTAGTCCACCATCTAACTACACCCAAACTCAATTAACCGAACTCATGCTCGCCCACAATCCTCAGCCGCTCATCTTTCTTTTTTTCAATGGCTGAGATTATTCTCCCCAATTGATGACAAGACTTATATCTGCCTATTTTTAACCATTGGATACCTTTGTTTACGATTCATCCAACGTTCCAGATTATGACAAGAGCTCATCTTCTTTAATTCTCAGTTTTTCTACATTCAACCTTTGTCGTTAGTTTTCTTGCTACAGATTTGTGAAACTGAAGTAATTAAGCACTTCTCATCATCAGGTTAGTAAAGATCCCTAACCTAACATTCTTGATTATACAATGCCTCAGATTTCTTTTCCTTTGTTG